CCTGTTCCTTACACTGCCTTAATACTTTACTCTCAAACCCGACACCCACGTCTCCAAACACACATGGCGTCCCGCCTGTTTGAGTCTGTCTGAGTGGTTTTGGGTAATAAAGCTCACTCTCTCGCTCCGTCTCTCTCAAAACCTCGCCACCGTCTCCCCCTCCTCCCCCCCAACACATCCTCTTCTAGTAGAGTGAAGCCAGCGGCCGTCAGCCTCATTAATCCTGATGAAAATTTGGGCAGATGTGCGAGGGCTCGTCCACGACACAAACAGCAGCTCTGTCCCCTCCAGCCAATCAGGTGATGAAAACCAGAAACGAAGAGCACGGAGAGAAACGACCGCCATTACACTCCGAGAGAGAGAGAGAGAGAAAGAAAGAGAGAGAGAGAAAGAGAGAGAAAGACCATTCCTGGTCGTTAGGAACATTAAATAAAAGTGCAATTTCAGCAAGACCTTTTTAAAATTCAGATTGAAAATGAGTGCGAGTGTGTTTGCAGCAGTGGAAGATGAGTACGAGTCTCTGTGTGGAGTCCATCTAGCCACAATGGAGAATATTAGAGAGCATATGGAGTTAATCTAAGCTTCCACAGAAGACAAGCGTAAGTATGTAGCGTATGCTAAAATGCCATGTTCACCCTATTTGTAGCGCACATCTTCTAAGCGTGGTCCTTATGGTCGGGAGATTGTGAGTTCAATCTCCATCGATGCCACAGCCATCTGTGGCTGGGAGTTCAACAAAGCATAACTGGTCTCACTCTCTCTGGGTGGGCAGGATGGACCTCGTTCCCCACCATCACTCAGCACGGGCATCTGTTAGCTGACGTAACAGAACCAGCAGTTAGTGTTCTCCTCCAAGCATGCTGAGCTGTCCAATGACGCAGCGTTAGCTGTTAATATTCGGTGGCGCTTCACGTGTCTCAGAGGAAGCAACCGGTAGCCATCACACTCCCAGCTTGGAAGCATTGTGTAATAGGGGTTGCACAGACTAGTCGACCTTACTGCTCAGCAATAACGCTTCAAGTTGATGTCAGCTAGTCGCTGATCACGATTATGGCATTAACAACATGAATCAATTTATTTATATTTTCAAATAAAACAAAGTTATTTTAACAATTACACCTTCTTCAGTCATCAATTTAGCAATATTGGTTTTAAATCAATTATCTAGAATTCCAAGCACCACAGAAGAGCTCGTCCCCACAGTCATGTGAGAAGGCTGAGGCCATATTTTGAAGAAAAAAACTATTTTTTCTGCAATTTTAACTACAATAATCTATACATGACTATGGAATATATAAATTAAACGACATAAAGAAAACAAATGCCAAATAAATATTATAAAATATATAATGAGATTTGTGGTCCCCAGGAGTCGTCTCACTGGTGTTACCGTGTAACAAAAAATCTCTTATTTTGAAATAAAAATCACACTGATGACATCACTTGACTTCATTTTACCTGTTTTCTGAAGATCTATGAAAAAAGCACATGGTGAGTCCACTGTGTCTCTCAGTTATCAGAGATTTTCTCATTTATCTCATGATTTCATATGAAGCTTTTAGCTGAAGTCACTGGTGTGATAAATATAATACAAATGGATTAAATTATATATTTTAGTGGATATTCCATGATTGACAACATGTGGTTTGATGCTCTGTAGCAGCCGTTTTGTAAAATGCATTGTTCATTAAAAATGTCTCTGGTGTTCCCTTTATTATGTGCAACACCAGTGAGGATCGGTAACACCAGTGACTTCTATGGAGAGACAGAAAAGTGCACGTTTCTGTAGAATGACCCATCTCTGGGATCCTGAAGGCTAGCAATACGATCCATTGTTGGAAAGGGCACGTCACTCTTCTAACCTGTGGAGTTTGGCTTTGTTCTAACATATCTCCACCATTCTACGTCACTTCAAAGATTAGATTTTGAATGTTATTATCTGACTATAAAAGGTCATGTGTCATTGGAAACGGGGCATAACGGCAAGTTATCTTGTAAAGTTTGAAGTCGGTTACTCTTATTTTCGGCAAGTTACGGTGCTCTAAATTTCTCTGGCTCTTTGGATGTCCACTAGGAGCGAGCTCCCTGACAAGGCCACCTAGGGTGCGTCGAAGTCAGATACAAAGTTGCAAGATTCTGGGGTCCGTATCGCCAGTTCCTTGAAGGCTAGCAGTGCAATCCACAGCTCGTTTGAAAGGGCACATCACAGATTCTTCAGAGACGGACATTTAAAGTCACTTGTTGCGAAGCATTCCCTCCTCCTGTGGTTTTATTCATGACGTCATCAGCGATTAGACGACATCAACTCGACTTTCATCACATAACTTTCGACTGAAGTCAGAAGAAACGTTGGCTGAGCAGGCCTCTACAAACCTCTGGATCAAGATGAACCACCATCAAGCATGTGTACCCCGACACTCACCTTGAGGTGATGGAGTCACCTGTTCCTTACACTGCCTTAATACTTTACTCTCAAACCCGACACCCACGTCTCCAAACACACATGGCGTCCCGCCTGTTTGAGTCTGTCTGAGTGGTTTTGGGTAATAAAGCTCACTCTCTCGCTCTGTCTCTCTCAAAACCTCGCCACCGTCTCCCCCCCCCCACTAAATCAAGAAGAAACACTGAGTAAAAACCTCCCAAAATACAAAGAAATAGAAACTGTTTGCGACATATGAAGAAACAGTGAAATCGATACGTTTTTCTTAGTTTTGCACTTGATTTATCAGGCTAATGTAGCTAAGATGTAACGTGTGGCAAAGATGAGCATGAGTATGTGTAAACTAGGACTGCAATCATATTTTTATGATTATCACAATATGATGTCTGAACAGCTCATACGACCTCAAACGCTTAGCACCAGAGTGACATAATCAGACTGGCAGGAAGGCAGCATTAGAAGCACAATTAGTGCTTCCCAGTGCTGGGTTTGAACTCTGCTCTCCAGCAAGACTTAACCATCTGGCTACACAGCCAAGTACAAAACACATAGCTTAAAAACTGCTCTACCCTGAACTACTAGCTTGTAAAAATGCAACAGGTATATAGTGTCAAATGTGTGAAACAGTAATGGCTATCGTCACAACAAACCTGCATCACTATAAGGACTTTTTTAAGAAATTAAATATAAATGTGCCTGTTGTTGTTGCCCAGCACTGTTGTTGCAGACTCCTTTGGGTGAAAGCTCATCTGAGATGGACTGACACAAAGTCGAAACATGCTGTGGTCTGACGAGCCCTTTTTTCAAATTATTTTTGGATATAATGGACATTGTGTTCACTGGTCCAAACTATTCCACTTTCATTTCAACAATTACTGAATGTTGGTAAAAAGAAGGTTATGTAACATGCTCCTGTCCCAGTTTTTGGAACATACTGCAGGCATCAAATTAAGAATAAGAGTTTACATACAAAAAAACATAAAGCTAATTAGTTGAAACATTAAATATTGTGTCTTTGTGTTCTTTTCAATTGAATACAGGTCAAAAGAACTTGCAAATTATTGCTGTAATTTCTGTATTACATTTTTCCTGCTGCCCCAAGTTCTTGGGAATTGGCATTAATTTGTGTAATTAATCATTAATCGCGATGTGAATCACGCCTGTCTTATTTGCTGTAATCTGAACATGAAGAAAGAAAAAAACAGTGCATTTTATATCTATTATAGCTTGTATAATCTCCACCACTGCCAATACAACACAACCCTCTAGACTAGCTGTATATGAGCCTAAGGTCACTATGTTCAATGCCAAGTGTTGGCTAGAGGGATACAAAGATGAACTGCATTCTCTGGAGTGATGGAGCTCCATCTAATACCTTTGGGATGAGTTGGAGTGATCCAGAACTGACAACATCACATCAGCAATGCTCTTGTGGCTGAATGCTATCAAATCCTCACCAACATCTAGTGTAAAGCCTTCCAGAAGAGGCTGTTACTGCAGCAAAGGGGGACAAATGCTTTATTATGCAAATGCTTTAAAAGTCATTCATTTCAGAAGAATGAGCAGCTGTCTATAAATGTTTAAACATACAGTGTATATGTACGGTATATATAAGAGATATGTATTGATATACTACTAAATCCCAGGAATATCATGTCACTGTCTCGTTGGACCTTTAAAGAAGAAAGAAGAAACGTTCTTAACCTTAATATATGTTATTTTAACAAGTCATATTGGACCATTTCTATTGGTCTGTTCCTCATGAAATGTTCACACAATGCAAAACTGCAGCTGCCATTGACAAATGATTTAAAAAAAATAATAAAAATGAAAAAAAACAGATATTTTGGTGTGACAGCGATGATATGTTTCTTCAAAAACAACAAACAGTGCAGCAATAAAGAACACAAAAGGGTAGAGATGTGCCAGCACATTGTGTGTACTCTCTTTTGCCTAAAACTAGAAAAATAATAAGTAGGCCTGTTGGTCCGCAGCACGTCACCAGATCCACTGGGAACGGCAGAACTTTTTTAATTGGCTGTATAAAAACAATAGAAAAAAAAAGAAAACAGAAAACCTATAAGTAAGCAGATTTGAGTCGTATTCTGGATCTCTCCTCTAATGGCGTTCTTCGCTGGAACGTAAGGGCACATATAATTGCCAGCCTAAAAGATGCTGGGGACGCTTTGTGATGCAAATAGGATTGTCAAATTATCTGGCGAAAGGAAAAAGATTCGAACTGCACCTTCAATCAGCGCCCCAATTTAACTCTTTAGACCCTGCAATTAATAATAAGCCTGGCTCGCTCAAATTTTGAGCAGGCAAAGTGGTGGAGAAAAAGACAGAGGGGGAGAGAGAGAGAGAGAGAGAGAGAGAGAGAGAGAGAGACAGAGAGAGACAGAGATAGACCAATTCATGAACATCAATCAGTGAAAATAATTCCTCCAACTTTTTTTTTAAAGAGTCAGACTTTAAATGGCATTACATATGTAGCGCTGCATGAAAAATTAATCTGGCGAAGCCTTGAAATGTCAGGGGTAATGATCGGCAGTGCTCTCACCTCTTTTGCCTTCTGCTTCAAACGAGCCTGCTCTGGGTCCTCCTGCCTCGAGCGGCTCTGTGAGAGAGAGAGAGAGAGAGAGAGAGAGAGGAAGAGAGAGAGAGGAGAAAAAAGAGAGAAAGGAAAAAATGAGAAAGGGAAATATAGAGAAAGAGAAAAAAGGAAGAGTTCATATACATATATATACATATAGGGAGAGAGAGAGAGAGAGAGAGAGAGAGAAACGACAGAACAGAAAGAAGAAAAAGACAGAAGAAAAAAGAGAGAATACAGAGAAAAAAATTAAGAAAAAGAGAGAGAAAAAGAAGGAAAAGACCAGGATAGACAGTAGATGAAAAAGAGACAGTGAAAGAAAAAAAGCAAGAGAATATATATATATATAGGAGAGATACATAAAGAGAGGAACGTCAGGACAGAAGGAAGAACAACAGAAGAGAAACAGAAAGACAAAAAGAGGAAGAGAAAGAAAGAGAGAAAAGGAATGAGAGAGAGACAGAAAGAGAAAAGAGAGTAAGAAACAGTGAAGTGAGGAAAAGAGTAAGAAAAAGAAAAAATAATATATATACATATAAGGATGTGAGTGAGAGAGAGTGAGAGAAACGAAAGACAGAAGAACGAGATAAAGAAAGACAAAAAAGGGAAGAGAAAGAGAGAGAGAAGAGAAATGAAAGAGAGGAAGACAAAATAGAGAGAATGAGAAAAGAGAATGAGAACCAGTGAGAGAAAGAGAGAGAGGGAGAAAAGGAAAGAGAGAGGTTAACAGCTGTGTTAGTGCTCCATCCTCTGTAGAGGTGTGTACTAAAATAGAGCTGAATGGGGCCACAGACGAGGAGTCAAGGACAGTGTGTGTGTGAGTGTGTGTGTGTGTGTGTGTGTGTGTGTGTGTGGTGTGTGTGTGTGTGTGTGTGTGTGTGTGTGTGTGATTGCAGGGCCGCCGGCGGTGGCCTCCAACCTCGCTCCGAATTCGCCCGTAACTACACCGCAGAGGGCTGATTCTAATCAAAAGATGATATTAAGAATTCTGTGGCGCACACAGAGGTCCAAAACAGTCCCCCCTCCCACCCCCACACGCCCCCAACACCCACACGGTCAGACTCTTTGTTCTGAGTGGTCTCCCTGTCCTTTCTACCAAGCGCAGAACTCTGGAGTTCCTGCTGCTGTATGTGTGAAGCAGAGCAGCGCAGCTGGAGCTGGATTAGTTTATCTGGAAAGTATTAACACTGATCCATCCAAACTCCACAAACACATTCTTTCATAGAAACGGTTGCCAGGTTGGACAAGCTTTACACAGCACTGGCAAAAATCTCATTCGACCTAATGAGAAACTGTGGCACACAACTTTTTGTCAAAATACCCAAATTTAAAGTATCATTTTTTTATTGTATTTTTTATTACTTTTTATTTTGTAAAAGGTCACACTGTTGAGTACAGAAGCCCAAAATGGTCATGGATTCACTTCATTTTTCCTCTGTTTTTCTATGATAACAAGTCATTTTTATTTGTTTTCTCGCAATCTTATGATATTTGTGCCATTATTTCTCTGGATCTCAAGTCATTTAAATCATTATCACAACAAAACAGACATTGGTTTATCAAGACAGTGTTCACTCTATCATGTTAATGGCATAAATATCTCAAGATCTGAAGAAAACAGCATTCGTTGTTTCATGATAATAATATATATAACTCTAAACATCAAGAAAGAGGCAAATTCATCAATGTTTCCGACTTGCTTAGTTTCAAATAGCTACAACATAGTCCAGTTTATAGCTTTAATCCGGCCTGAAATGTTGGTCCGAACCCAAATACAGCCCAAGAACTTGCTATCCGAGTCTGACCTGAACCACAGCAGCAAGTTTTGAGTCTGAAACTGACCTATGAGTCCAACAAAAGTTTTTGTGCTATCCTCACGATGTGCAGTGCTAATACAGCGAGATGTGCCCCTTCTGTTTAATCCAAAAACTCTATTTCTTTACAGGTGACATCACATCACTGTTGTTGGCAGAAAACCTCATATCTCCAAAATGGTAACTTTAATGTAAGTCCATGGAACAAGACTTTTTTCCCCAAGTCATTTTGGGTCGTTTCTTTCGGTCTACTTATCATGAAATTTACACACAATATAAAGGGCGCAGACTTTTTTTAATTATGTAAAAAAAACTGAAAAATGACAAAATGGACATACAAGATTTTGTTCCGAAAGCAGCGATATACTGAACATAAACATTAAAAAATACTTTTGGTCAAGCACGTTAAATACAGAGATTGGCTTCACTAAACTGTACTTCCCTGAACAGATTCACTCTTTCAATTCTCACGTATCTGTTTTCTCTCGTGGGTCTTGATGCTAAATGCTGTCAGCAACACAAGCGGGTGAGTCCAATAAACTGAGACGAACAGACGAAGACGTGACAAACATAATGTAAAACTTCATGACGCAGATTCTTTAAAAACATTGCGCCACTTCACCTGAAAATATGAACATACATCATCTAAAAGATGAAAGAATATTTAAATCCTTCATTTCGTCAAGCATGTATTTGGTTTCAGCGTTGTTCCAAAAGTGTTTTGCTGCGTCTCGCGGCAACACGGCTCGCTTATTTCCGGTATCAGCGTCTGTTTTCACACATGCACAGACAGAGAAATCCGAAAGAAATCAGAGTAAAGTTCACATGCACTGAGAAATCTGATTACTGAGCTAAAATCTTGAACAGCCTTTTTAATTGGATTTCTAGACCTTACTATGATCTAAGAAAACAGAGTGTGCTATTTACACGAGCATTTGAATAATCAGATAACTGCAGAAATCCAATTATGATTGGATTATTGAGTGAATGTAAAAGTGAATGTAAATACACTCAATGCAACTATATCTGTATTCACTGTTACAGAAGGATTACAGTAGTACAGCGTCACATAAATACACGCTTCGACACGCTTCTGTTGAGTGGTAACGGAACCAACGTTCTAGCTTTAAACCGTTCTGTAAGGTGACAGTACATCAGTTCACCCTATTACACATGTGAGAATGTGTTCTCAAGATACACATAATACTGTAATCCATCTGGAACAGTGAACACAACACCAGCAATTACACTGTTGTTGCATGTCTTGTTAATGGGTAACAACACAGTTACCAGAGACATTTCTCAATAAAATGAAAACCTATATCCTTTCAACCACACAGCTGGGTGGGCACACCAGGCTAAAAACTGTTTTAATTAAGTACAGAGAACAAAGTAAATAGTAAAATAGGAGGATTAAATTTGATAAAAGTGGGAAGGAGAACCTGAACGTGAGGTTCTATTTTGTCTCCTAAACGGCACGTCCTGTCTCTCTCTCCTCCAGAGAAAAAACCTCCCGTCTGTCTGCCTCTCTCTCCCTAAAGCTGGCAGAGTGCCCGGTCTGCTCCCTCAGACACAACACACATGTTCAGTGCCTTCAGAAACACAACCACTGCATTCAAAACATGCTTCTAAACCCACAACATGATGCAGACGGCTCACCACCAACAGTCAAGAAACACACGCCAAGACGTCAGCAAAAACATCAAGACACACACATTCCAGCTTTACAGCTGGGGTAACAGGTCATTTTTAAAAACCATAAATAAGGTTATTAATATGTTTATTATTTAAAAAGTGTTTTATAGGTCAGAGTCTTTATATCTTATTGTACGTTATGTCGATATGTCGCTAATGTCAAGTTTGTCTCTTGTATGTGTGCGAGAGGCTGCTTTTGTTGTTACATGTGGCATGTACACTGTCGAGCTTCTGACATGTATAAATATATACAACCCCATTTCCCAAAAAGTTGGGACGCTGTGCACAATGTAAATAAACACAGAACGCAATTATATGCAAATCAAGTAAACCATATTTTTCAAGGACAATAGCACAAAGACAACATATCAAATATTGAAACTGAGAAATTTTACTGTTTTTTTGAAAAATATATGCCCATTTTGAATTTGATGCCAACAACACGTTCCAAAAAAGTTGGGACGGGGGCCTGTTTACCGCTGTGTTTCATCACCTCTTCTTTAAACAGCACTCTGTAAGCGTTTGGGAACTGAGGAGACACTGCTGTAGTTTAGAAAGTGAAAAGTTTTCCTGTTCTTGTTTGATACAGGATTTCAGATGCTAAACAGTTCGGGGTCTCCTTTGTAATATTTTTCCGGACTCTTTTAATACACAGCAATTCTGATGTAATACATGCAGAATGTGGTTTGGCATTGTCCTCCTGAAATAAGCAAGGCCTTCCCTGAAAAAGACGTCATCTGAATGGCAGTATATGTTGCCAAAACCTGTTTCTATCGTTCAGGATTAATGTTGCCTTCACAGATGTGCATGTCACCCATGCCATGTGCACTAATGCCCCCCTATACCATCATGAAAACTGTGCACTGATAACAAGCTGAGTGGTCTTCAGCCCGGAGGACACAGTGTCCATGATTTCCAAAAAGAATTTCAAATGTTGATTTGTCAGACCACAGGACAACTTCGCCTCCATCCATTTTAAATGAGCTCAGGCCCAGAGAAGGTGGCAGCATTTCTGGATCTTGTTCATATACAGTTTCTTCATTGTTTTTTAGAGCTTTAATTAGCATTTGTGGATGCAGTGATGAACTGTGTTCACAGACAGTGGTTTTCATAAGGGTTTCTGAGCCCATGCAGTGATTTCCTCTACAGAATCATGTCTGTTTTTAATGCAGTGCCGCCTGAGGGCCCAAAGATCACGGCCAGCAAATACTGGTTTTTCGCTTTGTCCCTGGCGTAAAGATTACTCCAAATTCTCTGAATCTTTTAATGATATTATGTACCGTAGAAGATTAAAAGAGATATGTTATTCTTGAATTGTTGCACTATTTGATCGTGCAGTCTTTCACAGAGTGGTGAACCCCTCCTCATCTTTCCTTCTGAAAGACTCTCTGAGATGCTCTTTTTATACCCAATCATGTTACTGACCTGTTGCCAATCAACCACCAGGTCTTTTTTTTAACATTACACAACTTTACCAGTCTTTTTTCCAGTTTTTGGAACGTGTTGTTGGCATCAAATTCAAATTAAAACATTTGATATGTTGTCTTTGTTCTATTTTCAATTAAATATAGGGTTTAAATGATTTGCACATCATTGCATTTTGTTTTTATTTACATTTTGCTGAGCGTCCCAACTTTTTTGGAAATGGGGTTGTACTACATATGTATTGCTGTTTTATTTAAAATCTGATATCCGGTATTTGTGTATTTAATTTTTTTTTTTTAATAACTTGAAATAACTGAACGAAATTATTCTGTGCTGATATTGGCACTGTTGCTTCTTAAAGAATTGCAAATGAACTGAATAGATGTGAGCTTAAACATCTCTTTATATATAATATATACTGTAAATGTGTCTGTATGAGTTTCACATTAATGTCAATGAATCCTACACTGTCAGAACCAGCTTGAACCCTATTATAACAGCGATGACCATGTGTTCTATAACTGCAAGTCTCTGCAGGTCCAAAGCTTCTTTTTCTCTGCACACACTTAAAAACATGGTTATTCAAGGGTTCTTAAGTGAATGTAATGGTTCTATATAGAACCATTACATGCTGAAAAATCTGATTATGCAGAACGTGTTTGCAGAACCTTTCTGGAAATGGTTCTATATTGCACCAAAAAGGGTTCTGCTATTGCTACGATGTCAAGCTTGTAATAATAGCGGTGCTACACAGAACCATTTTCAAAAAGCCTCTATATAGAACCATATATAAAACATTCTCCACCAATCTGAAGAACCATTTCACCATTCAAAGAAACTTTTATGCACAACATGGTTCTATATAGAACTCATGGTTTGCCTTTACTAAAGAACCCTTGAAGAACGATCTTTAAGTGTGTATAGTTTGGGCAGTTTGCACATTTTCTTTAACTGCCCCGAGCTGCTGTACAAGATCCTCCTTACTCATCCTCTCACTTACACACTTAGAGCAAGAAAAAGAGAGAGAGCAGGAGAGGAAGAGTGAGATAACAAGAGTGAGAGAGAGAGAGCGAGACAGAGAGAGATAGCGAGAGAGAGAGAGACTCAGCAGCCTCTGCTAATTGGCTTTAAATATATCAGGCAGTTCACGTAGTGGTCGGTATCTGGGCTGAGAGAGACGCGTTTGGCCTCTGGCCCTCGCGCCGCTCCCTCAAGACTTGAGTCATATTTTAAACGGAGGATGAAGGGGGAATTATTTTAGTGGGTTCATGTTTAAGAGGTCAAACTGAGCTGAGCTCCGAGAGCCAGAGAGAAGAAAGCAAGGACATAAAGGAAGCGGGTGTGTACGGCCTAACCCACATACACACACTCACTGTCTCCCTCTCTCACCCATACACACACTCAGATGGTGCCAAAGGCACACCATGCATCGCCAGTGTCACTGGTTTTAGTGATGAGGGCTATTTTTGTGTTTTCCCCCCTTTAATAAGGTGGAGACTGGTGGACGATACTGAATGAACTTGAGCCACAATGAGAGACACACAATACTAATATAGTCCATAATTATTTTACAGATAGGTGTCAAACACTGGGTACTTCGTCCTGGGATTCATTTTTAAAGACATTGACTGGTCAGTTTATTAAACATACCTACAGTACTGTGCAAAGGTGTCAGAGATTTCCAGTCAAAATGGCCATTAAGTACATTTTTCATTTTTCAGTGTCAGGAAAACAGCAAGAAAATATCAACAACTAAATCTAACATCATTTTCTCAGTGTTTACTGTGTCACTCTTTCCCTTTATTACAGCCTCCATTCTTTTCAGGAGACTCACTTTCAGCTCCTCAAAGAATCTGCAGACACACCTCCAAAGTTCAGTCTTAGAAGCTGGTTGATCATTTACTGAAGTAATCAAACACATTCAGTGGTGTTGAGGTCTGGACTCTGGGGTGGTCAGTCCATCGTTCAGCTTCTTTGTTTGATGTGTCCATCTCCTTTTCTCAGTGAGGTTCTTCTTGATCAGCTACACATCCTTTCAGACCCACAGCGCTGAGTCGTCTTCTCACAGTGGAAGGATGGACAGAAACACCTGTGGATGTTTTCAGATCTGAAGCAGCTTGATTTTCTCCTCTCTCTCAGAGATGAAAGCTTTAAGTGCTGTTTATCTGATGGCGGCAGTTTTGGGGTCGACCAGCTCTTCCAGGTGGTTGTTAGGAGGCCCATTTTCTAGCTTTTAGTAGTTCTTTGAACTTTCTCCTTCCTAATGCGTTTTGTTTTATGTCTAATATTCCCAGAAATATCTCCTGAAAAACTAACAACTTGTACTTAGTGGCTGTTTTGACTGGTAATTAAATGAATAAAGGGTGAAAGAGGCCCAAAATGTTCTGTAATAACTCTCGCTAGGACGAAGCAATCTGAACGAAACGATGTGCAATGTACTCCTCAGTATATGGAGCTTTGAACAAGCGATGAGGTAGGCGCAGGGACAGCAGTCGGAACGTTTTACCTCCCTTTGCAACTTCCGCGTGCATACCCCCATACCCCTTCATATGTCTGGCAGAAGACGGAGATCACTTCCAGCATTGCATGTATTGTAAACGATTACACATACATCAAGGTGTGTAGTGTATTTTTTTGGTTCAGACTGCTTCGTTCTAATGGGAGTTACAACAGAATATTCAGGGCCTCTTTCGAGTGAATCTCCCTGTATGATTAATGTAGTTATATAAGCTGAAGTGAAAACAGATACTTAGTATATGTCTTAAAGACTGTAGATTGACATATTTCTTGGCATACATTTCAAGCCATGTCACCTACTACGGATTTGTGGTCTGGGTTTGGGTTTCATTCAGTGCAACAGCAGAAAGATGCTGTTATTTTAATAATGCCTTACAAATGTAAATTGTCTATCCTGGCCATTTTATCAGAAACAACTATATACAAAACAGGTGTACAATACCAGACTTTTCATTTATCCGCCCCCCTGTACTCTGTCCCTCAGTCAAAGGGCACCACCATAGGACCACCACTGGCCTGATACTATTTGGATGGTGGACCATTCTCTGCACAGCAGTGACACTGACATGGTAGTGGCACGGAAGAAGGTGTGACAGTGGTAAGAGCGTAACAGGCACAGCAGCGTTTGTATCCACTGTGTTCACACACTGTCCACTTTATCAGAAACTCTCTCACCTTGCCGGTGTACAGTTAGAGACTGTAGCTCACCTGTTGATGCACAGTTTGTGGTAGATATTCTTTAGTCCAGCGCTGCCCAAAGTATGACCCATGGGACAAGGTTGGCCCGGGAGGATGTTTGATTTGGCCCTCCAGAAAGCTACCCTAACCCCATCCCTCACAAATGAGAGAATAAACATATTTTTAAACTATACATAACTTGATAAATTACTATTTTCCTTTTGAAAGTATTTTATCAGCAAAATTTAGCGTTATAAAACGCAATTTTTATTTGAAACCTATCCACCATCTTTCTTTCTATATTGTTTTGTTTTTGGCCCTCGGCCCACCAAAACATCGCACTTCATTCCCCCCAACACAAAAGATTTGGACACCCCAGCTTGGGTTCTTCATCAGTGGTCTGCTTCTGACCACAGAGCCACTCTGGATATTTTAGGTGGTGGTCCACTCTCAACCTAACAATGACACTGTGTTTACATGCACTCAATAATCCAATCATAATCTGATTTCTGCAGTTATCTGATTATTCAAATGGTCATGTGAACAGCGCACTCTGATTTCCTAGAGGGGAGTAAGGTCTAGAAATCTGATTAAGAAATCTGATAAATAGAGCTGGATTTTAGCTTAGTAATCAGATTTATCAGTGCATGTGAACTCTTACTCTGATTTCTTTCGGATTTCTCAGTCTGTGCATGTCCGAAAATAGACGGAGGTACCGGAAAAAAGCAAAAACAGCGTTGCCGAGAGACGCAGCAAAACACTTTTGGAGAAACACTGAAACCAAATACATGCTCGACGAAATGAAGGACTTCAATTCTCTTCATCTTCTAGATGATATATGTTCATATTTTCAGGTAAAGTGGCGCGATGCTTAAAAAAAAAACAAAGTTTGAGTTTTACATTATGTTTATGTCAAGTCTTCTTCTGTGAGTTTATTGGCTGGTTGCAAAGCAGAAATCTGATTACTGCCTGATTCATGTAGACCGGGAGTTTCCCCCACTATCTAATTACTCAAGTGCATGTAAAAAGTCTGATTTCCTGCAGTTTGGGATTTTTAAGTGCATGCAAACACACTCAGTGACCTCTGTCCAGCAACACCGCTGTGTCTGATACACTTGTACCAGCACCACACACACTACCATGTCAGTGTCACCAGCCAAATAATATCTAATGGTCCTGTGATGGTCCAGTGTAGAGGGTGGACAGCATGGGTTTCGGGTCTCAATCTTGCAGCAAATCTGTCATTTACTGTCATAAAAAGTCAGAAAAAGAGACATATTTAAGCCCTTAAATGTCCAGGACCTGTCAAACAAATAGCTCAGCCAGTTTGCACTGTAGTCCATGTAGTTACTGAATAATAAGCTTTAGGATGTAATAAGCCTGAGATTTTAAGGGGTTAATTATAGGACCAGAACCAGAAGGTGGGCAAGCACGAAAATATTTTGCTCCTTATTAACTTAAACATTTTAAACTTATTAAGTTATTAAATTTATTGCGTGCTGGTTGAAGTCGTTCTTACATAGACTCAGAGAAAATGTCTTGGTGACTTGCAGTGGCTGGTTTCATGTGTCTCAGAATATGCATGTTACCCCTCATCCTCCCAGGCTGTGTAACAAGGGGAGACCAGGCTAGCGGGTGGGAATTTGCAAATCGGAAACGGGTATATAAAAAAGTCTTGTTGAATGACTGTGTGCAGGTCTGAAGGGGCTGCATGTGGTTTGTGGTGAAGTCTTACTTTAGCTGCTTTAAGGAGAATCTCTCTCTCCTGCTCGTCTTTCCTCTGTTTCTCCAGCCGTTCCAGCTGCTCAAAGAACTTCAGCTGAGAGCGAACGTCCGACGACTGCTCGTACCACTCCTCATCCTAGGAAAAGAGGGAGAGGGAGAAGGAGAGAGAAACAGAGAGAGAGAGAGCGAGAGAGAGAGAACAATGAGGGTAAACTGACAGACGAAGAAAAAAAAAGTAACCAAAAGTTTAGGTTTACAAAAACAAAATTTTTTCCCTTTGGACTTTTGTTTATGACTCACTTCTGAATGCATGTAATGTACCATCCAAACCTCAGAGAGCTCAGGTGGAAACAAAAGTTTGTGGGCAAACAAACCGTTAACACCATAATTAAACGTGTTTATTTCAGAAACGCGCCCTCAGTCCTTCTCTTGTTCTCCTATTACCTCACTCTTTCCAGCTTTTCGGTCTGTTTTCGCGAATGTGTATGTGTGCGATGTGGGGATCACAGTGGCACTGAGCTGAAAGACATCTGAGATCCACTCGTTCGCCCTCCCTCCCTCCTTCCCTCCCTCCCTCTTTTGTTGGGCGCTGAGGCGGCGTGCTCCGTCGTGGGTCGCTCTTTTGCTCTTTTTTTTTCCGCTGATGCTGACAGAGTGGCTTCACAAGGCCTTGCGCACTTCTAACGCACCTCATTTCCAAACCACAAGACGAGAAAAAAATGCAACAAAATACAACACAGAGGAAAAAACACAGAACGGCGTAAACGAGACGCGAGCGGCCGCCATGCACGGCGACTCTCTCCGCGGTCCTGCGTGCAAATAAACAACTTTTTTAAAAGGTCTTTCAAGCCCGGCTCCTCCTGTCTCGCCTCTTTCTTCCGCAGCAGGCAGGAGGGTTTCGCTCCGCGTTTTGGAGCGCTTTGAAAGGAGCGGCGTACGTGGGGGGCTACAAACGATTCCGAGGAACACTCGCTGCCACACTGCGTCTGGAAAAAGTTGAGACTTTTCTTTTTCGATCTCGGATGGATGTTTATCCGTCTCCTTTCTGGCCTTTTAGTTTGCGGTTCCGAAAGTTCTGGGCAAGAGTCTTCGTCTAAACAGAACCTGTTTCTGCTTTTCGTATCTCATCTAGTACCAAAGGGTCTGCCGCAAATGTGTCTCTGACATATTTATGCTAAACTTTGTGAGAAGCTGCTTCAAGACACAATATGATGGTTGAAAAAGAAAATTTTCATTTGCTAAAACATTCCCAAAGACATTGTAACCCAAAGGGAAGAGATCGTTTTGAAATGTGAAACAACAGTTTTGACATAGAAAGCTCCAGAGCAGCGTTCAGTGTGTGGAATTTAATCAAAAATGACTTTATTCATTGTAAAATTACACTTTTATTAAAATCAGGAAAAATAATAAAGAATAATCTGAAATAGAAACGCATAATGGAAGCCAAAACTCAACTGTATTATCCATAATATGGTAAATAACCCTTAAACTATGGTGCCCTCAACAGCTTTAAGGATGAAGTTTTGACATTAAGTAGAAAACAGTAGCTCCATTAGCCTAATTAGCTACAGTAGGCTTAATATATTGATGTAGGTTTATAAATATTAGAAAACATAGCAACATAAACTCCCCCATGTTCAAGCAGTGATGTCTGAAAACGACTTTCTCAAAGATCACTTTAAACGACTGATGCAATGTTAGTTAAAGCTAATAAAGTTTTAAGGTCTACACATTACAATTTAATCTGCTCTTCTTTGTTAATCACATTATTTATCAATGAATGTGATGTAACATTTATTGAGTCTTACAAACGACGTTTGACCAAGAAAACACATGAAAAGGAATACAGGACACACATCGGTAACATATCGCTGCTGTCGGATTTTTCAGTTTTCGACATAATTTGAAAATGCCTGTTGCTCTTTATATAACGTGTAGATTTAAATAATTACGTCTATTAATGTGTGGTAAATACTCTCAGCAGACCACGATAATTGGACGAGGTGTGTGGTACAGATCAATTCTTTAATTCTACAGCTAAATCTATTAAAAGCTCTTTTCCTCTGGTCTGGTCTCTCCTACCTTGTTGGAGTCCATCCTGTGCTGGGCGATGGACGTGACCTTCTCCAGAACTGTCCGTAAACGCGACTGCGTTGCGTGAGAGATGAAGTTTACCGCCTCCAGAGGCACCTCGGTCACCCCGTACTTCTTAGCTAAAAAATACAGAAAGAGATTTTAACAAAAAACATTTGTGAGACATACACTGCTCATCAAAAGTTTGGAAACATATAAAATATGTTTTGTGGGAAAATATATTTTTTTGTGTTAAATTAGAATATTTTTATAGTTGGTCTGCAGTAACTTCTCAGGATAATTTCAGTTATTGCCAGAAATAGGTATTCTTGCAACTCTTTTCCTCAAAAAACAACTGTTTTTTTTTCTTCTTTAACCCCTTAATAAGCCATGAACCTGCCGGTGGGCTCAAAGTACACTTCTATAACCTAAGAACAGCTCCATTAGTCACTGAATAATAAGCTTTTGTATATAATAAGGCTGGAAAGGGGTTAATATCCAGGTTTATTTTTATAACAGGTTTATGCTTTAATATCAGGGTTATTATTTTTCATTACTGCAATCTGAAAAAGTTGAAAAGCCTTTTGAAAAGACTTTTAGTAGTATGTCTAAAGAAATAAAGGACACAGCAGATACATTACTATTTTAAAATTATGACAGATCTCATACACGACATTGTACTACCGTTAAACAGTCTAAGCAGGCATTAAACCCCCCCCCCAGAAAACTGAAGTAATATGATGTGATACGTGTTTCAAGAGCATTCGTTGTATATGTACTAGGAGTGTAAAATGTCTCACAAAATATGATACAGCGTCCTCATTAACGCATATAGCCGTAGGAACACTACGTGAAACTGATCTGAGAGAAGGAAAAAAAAGAGAAAGGAAAAAAACACAGAATTAAAAAGCTCCTTTCTGCCTTTCCTGTGTGTTAACGTGGGTGACCACCTTCACTTTAGAGGATAATTAGGCTTCCTCGCAGCCATCCACTTCCAGAGGTTCTGCACGCAGGACTGAAGTCTTTGGTCGGTTACTATCTTGTTACATCCTTTTATTTCATTTCCACATTAACATAATTTCCCCTTCGACTGTTCTTTTAAGTAAATCACAGCAATTATTTAAATCAGCCATTGCGTACGTACAGTGCACACTTCCTGAAATGGTAGAGATGGTAAAGAGATAATGAGTGGCAAAATACAAAAACCAGAGAAAAGGGGATTTTAAAAAGAACAGCGAAAATGTAATCAAACGCTGGCATTTCCTGCCGTCGCCGATCCAAAAACCACAGCAACACGGTCGAAACGCACAATCAAAGCAAGGAAAACAGGCCGATGTTCCCTCTTCAGAGACATATTTGCCCCATGTGTAACGGCACATGTACCTACATTTCAGAACGCCGCTGATTCCACCAACTGTTTATTTGATTCCAATTTACTATTGAGGTCAGACAGTTGACAATTTGAGCACAAGCACAAACAAAAGCGCAGGAAACACATGTGCTCAAATATTTCTCAAATCAACTCGTCATCCTCTTTTCCCAGAAGTGGAGCACAATATTAACTCCCTGAGGCTCTGCTCTCAGTCAGAACACCACACTTATCCGGATCCGAAAGGTAAAAACTGATCATAGGTCAGCGCTTGTGGTGATGTACAGGCCTTACAAAGGAGATGTTTTTGTGCTGTGATTCCCTCAGTGTTTTGGGACCCTCTCTCAGTTTTAGGACTAACTAACGATTATTTCGATAACTGACCCATCCACTCTGCGTCCACAGTCCATTCTTTCACCGCTACAGTTGCAAAATTGGACAAGTTTCATGAAACGCTGGCCAAAAAAATTCACATTCCGTCTACTGATTTATGCTGGAGTTTAAAGTTTCACTACATAACACTCAGTTTCCAGTTTAAACTGCTATGCTGCCAAGGCCCAATCCCAATTCACCCCTCGCCCGTACCACGCAGCCCTACCCCTCTGTTTTGCTCGTTCACATTGGGTTGGGTGTCCCAATTCTTGTTGAGACAGAGGGGTAGGGCAAGGTGTTTGGGCTACATGGCCCTCCCAACTGATGTTTCTCAGAGACACATTCCAAATAGAGGGCTTTGTCAAAAAAAAAAATAAATAAATAAATAAAAATGGCAATATGGCTGCCCAGGCGACCAAAGAAACCCACAAATGTGAGAATCTTTTCTGTAAAAAAATTACAATAACCAATATATTATCTTAGTTTAATGTCATTTCAATGTATTATGGTCCTTTTCTTCAAAACAAGCATTAAAAATCGCTAGTAGTATGCTAATGTCTCGGTAGCCACCTAGCTAATTTTCTTGTTTTTACCTTGGTACCATTTAAGGTGGAACGGGAAAATTCGAACAAGAAGCTGGCGAATATCTGTCTTCAGCTTCATATCACTGAAGAATTAGTGGTGGGCAATAATAAATAAAAGACACATGATTCCCTAAATGTAACTAAAGCCCAGCAGTGAGGAGCTGAACTTTACCCTCCTCTGCTGTCACTGCAGACTGGCAGGGTCGCCTACAGAGCAGCGCTGGTAGCTGTTAATGAAGTGATGCTCTTTTTATTTGAGGGTTGTCGCCTTAAATTCGTAGGGCAAGATTTCAACCACTACCCTGTATCTCAGTTCCAAGGTGACTCGAAAACAAGGGGTAATCAAGCTATTACACACACTTCCTCTCACTTTGCCCTGTCATCATTCAACTATCAAGAAGTGATTTATTTTTATGTTGTGATAGAAACAACAGAAGCCATATCGCCCCCTACACCTCCAAGAGTGTATTACAGTCTGTCAGAATGACAGCAGGACGTGATTTTTCAGTCATTTTTCCTGTAATGCTGAATATCAGTAGAGGCCACTGAAATGCATTAAAACGTTTCAAAGCTTTCAAAAAAGGATGAGGCCAACCTTTTTTTTAGGTAGATCAGGAAAGACCTGTCCACTGGAAAAAGTGTGGGCACCCCTGTTGTAGAGCGTTTCTGATAACGAGTAAATGATGTGTCAACTTAACATAATTGATGTCACTGACAATTTGTTGTAGCCCTACTAGGCTGATTGTGTCGCTTTTCTCTGTCAGTCTTCTGTCACTGTACTATCTGTACTATTTTGCTGTTCATGTATTTTAGTTCTTGTGTTTTGATGCTCTTTCTGAATGGTGCTGCAGCAGTCTGTCTCCGGTGGGACGGCAGAGTGCCATCAGTTAGTTTAGACAGACACTACAGACGGCTCCAGCTGTGAGAGAGTGCCATATTCAGGCCCGCAGCAGGAACAACCACGCTGGCCTCTTCTACACACAACACAAACATGGCTGAAACAAACAAAGGAGAGAAAAGTCTGAGCCAAAACATGAGAGCGGATCTTAGAGTGATGGGCTTAGATCTGAGATCTGATCTTAGAGTGATGGGTTTAGATCTGAGATCTGATCTTAGATTAGAGTGATGGGTTTAGATCTGAGATCTGATCTTAGATTAGAGAGATGAGTTTGGATCTGAGAGCTGATCTTAGATTAGAGTGATGAGTTTAGATCTAAGAGCTGATCTTAGATTAGAGTGATGAGTTTAGATCTGAGAGCTGATCTTAGATCAGAGTGATGAGTTTAGATCTAAGAGCTGATCTTAGATTAGAGTGATGAGTTTGGATCTGAGAGCTGATCTTAGATTAGAGTGATGAGTTTAGATCTGAGAGCTGATCTTAGATTAGAGTGATGAGTTTAGATCTGAGAGCTGATCTTAGATCAGAGTGATGAGCTTAGACCTGAGAACTGATCTTAGAGTGAAGTGTTTAGACCTGAGAGCTGATCTTAGATTAGAGTGATGAGTTTGGATCTGAGAGCTGATCTTAGATTAGAGTGATGAGTTTAGATCTGAGAGCTGATCTTAGATTAGAGTGATGAGTTTAGATCTGAGAGCTGATCTTAGATCAGAGTGATGAGCTTAGACCTGAGAACTGATCTTAGAGTGAAGTGTTTAGACCTGAGAGCTGATCTTAGAGTGATGGGCTTAGATCTGAGAGCTGATCTTAGACTAGAGTCTTGAGTTGTAGATCTGAGAGTTGATCTTAGATCAGAGTGATGATCTTAGATTTTTGAGCTGATCTTAGATTAGACTGATGATCTTAGATCTGAGAGCCGATCTTAGATTAGAGTGATGGGTTTAGATCTGAGAGATGATCTGAGATTAGAGTGGAAAACTTAGATCTGAGAGCTGATCTTAGATTAGAGTGATGAGCTTAGATCTGAGAGCTGATCCTAGAGTGGTGAGCTTAGATCTGAAATCTGATCTTAGATCAGAGCGCTCATCTTAGATCTGAGAGCTGATCATAGATCAGAGAACTCATCTTATATCTGAGAGCTGATCTTACATTAGAGGGCTCATCTTAAATAAGTAAGCTGAGGGCTGATCTAAGATCTGAGAGTTGATTGTTGATCAAAGGTCTGATCTTAAACCTGACAGCTGTTCTTAGATCTGAGACCTGATCTTATATCTGAGGACAATCTTAGACCTGAAAGCTGATCTTAGATAAGCTCATGCTGACCCCAGTCGTTTACCTTGATTCAAAGCTGATCTTAGATCTAAAAACTGATCTTAGATCAATAGTGCTGGTCTTAGATCAGCCAATGCTGTCCCCAGGTGTTTTCCTCTGTTCACACTGTGTTCACTCCGTTAAAAAAAGGCTTAGTGAGCATAAAGACAACAGAGGAAGAGGACTGATCTTAGATCTTATAGCTGATCTTAGGTCAGAGACCTAATCTGATCTAGATCTGAGAGCTGTTCACAGATCAGAGAGCTGTTTACCTTTGTTCACACTGAGGTCAGACTGTCCTGAGTGTACTAAGGTACATCAGGGCTTTGTATGTGTGTACATGAGTGTGTGTATGTGTGTATTCACACTGCGCTCTGCCTGAGCGGAGCTGGCAGACTGAGGGGCCTCCCCTGGTCTGCTGTCACCCTCGGGCTTTCCTCACCCAATCACTGACACAAGCCCACCGCCGCGCTGCTTCAACCCAGCAGGGGGCGCTCCGTCCTCCCACACACACCAGCACTCCAGAGCCCAGCGCATTTCCATTCTGTAAGCAGCCCAGCGCTCAAGGGTGCACAATAACAACCACATGGAGGTGCACTGCAACTGCAGCAAAGCCTCCGGCTCCTTCACATCCACCGCACAGGCTTAATTGAGAGCCAGTGCATGCTGAGATGGAGGGAGGAGAGGAGAGAAAAGGAGAAGAGAGGGAAGGAGGGAAGGAGGAGAGGAGAGTGATGAGAACGGACACATACAACCGAAAGTTAACGAGAACGCCGCATGTAGCCTACACTGTTAGCAAAAATGGTTCTATATAATACCAAAAAAGGTTCTGTGACTTGTATCAATAGTGGAACCTGTTTTGGTGCTATATAGAATGATTTTTTTAAGGTTCTTTAAATAACTAAATACAACAGTCTCTCCAACATAGAGGAAGAACCATTTAACTATGTAAAGAGCTTTTGAAAAATGCAGTTGAGTTGTCATGGTTTTATAAATAACTATCACTTTTCTAAAAAACCCTCAACAAACCTCTTTTTTCAGGGTGTACATTTTGTGACAAAAGGCTAGCTAGTTAGCTTAAAAAACCTGGCCTAAACTGAAAAACTGAAAATCATTTCCTTTCTTAAAGGAACAGTTCACCAAAAGATCACTGATAAACATCCCAGCCCCCCCGACCACCTTTATCCCAAATTTAGTCAATGTATGTTTGATGTTCAAAGCTACAAGGCAAATGTAGCTAACAATGAATTGAGGTCTATGTCATCCAAAAACGTTTCTGCTGTACTGCAAAACTAAAGAAGGAAACTTTGGACATCGAACGTGTCATGGCAAATCGACTATGTGTAGAGTCTGCGGTAAACTGTGTACATTTGATATTTTAACTATTCCTTTAAAAGGCCTGTATCCTACATTTTCCTCATTTCATTTCCCACCTACAACATTTGTGTGGTTTTACGTACCAAATATATCATAATTTATTTTTACATGATCATTTTCCAACCTCTATTTTTTGTAATAGTGCTTGTCTTTGCTGTGAGGGTGCTCAGGCTAGACGACAAGACAAAGAGAGCGTTTAACACACATAGCGAGTTTAAGCTACAAATAAGAACACAAACTCCCAGATCTCCTCAGATCACACAACACAAACAAAGCTAAACTTACTGGACCGGTTTGTGCTTTTATGCGGAGCCATGTGGGTATTAGTATGAGTTTGAGAAACGCTGATATCACAGTGACAGTTGGAGAAACGTTTCGACGAACCAGCAGCTGAGCTGAAATTGTAAAGAGAGTGACTCGACGTCTGGATCCAACATTATAAACACGATAACAAGTCTAATCTGCCTGTTTTACACGCAGCTTCTCTCTTTGCGCTCTGCTGTTCAGGAGGTGTTCAAGCGCTCTTCACCGTTTTCTCTGCTCATTTAGCTTTCTGATTGGCTGTTGTTTGAATAACTCGTTGAGTAAATCTCTGACCTTCTCGCTGAGAGAAGGACTGAATGTTTTGAGTCATAAATATCAAAATATGTTTGATATTTGATGTTGGAGGGTATTTGATCACTCCAGAGTTTAATCGAAGGGCTAAAGATTCACTCGTTTCTCCTCTCGCACTACCAGATCATGATGATTGGCTGCCCTGTATTGTGCTAATTCGGAAAGCACTCAGAGCTGAAACACTCTTTATAACTTCAGTATGAATGGGCAGAGCTAGACAGATGTAGGCTGAATATGTGGATGTACGTAAATTGGTTTGTTCTTGTGACATCACAGACACAACGAATTCACACAGGCTGTTTATTTGTTTGTATATTTTCCCATATATGGACTGTATGGAAAATGGTACATTTTGAAACCTTGGAATGTTTAACAATGTTAAACTGCTTCAAACTCTTTTGTCGACGCTACGGGTCCTTTAAAGACGTGCAGAAAAGAATCATATACAACAGATAATTTCAGCATTCAGACGATTCTTTCTAACTGAATCATGGTGAAATTTGAGAATTCATGACACACTGAATCTTAACTGAATCAAATCATTGTGAGGTCAGAGATTTACTTCACCAATGACAAAAATAACTGCCTACTATTACTACTAATATATATTATTTGCTATTGTTATAATTATGACTCTCGATCCGCGCTTAACTTTACATTCCAAAACACTGAAAGCCGTAGCAGTATTCAGTGCCTCTTCCTGTAGCATTCGCCTCCACGGAGAGCAGGTCTGACCGTAGTCCTTATGAGAAAAGCTCAGGCCTGCTGGTCTAGCCCCAGTCTTTGATTTGAAAGAGAAGAGGAAAGATATGAGCTGCTTTCGTACCGGAGCGCTGCCTTCCTGCAGTCCACAGGACAACCTGACAGCCAGTCTTCAAACGGCAGGCCCATAAACTATTCATGCCGCGGCCCGCGGATTCACTCACGGAGCCGAGCGAGCCGCGGCGAGAGTCATTAGATGAGGAGACGAGCCCGTTTAAGAGAGTCGCGCGCATCGTATTCAAAAGCAACACATAGCGCCGACATCAGGCCGACACACCCTCTGTCTGTGGTGGTGACACAGTCAAAAACAATAAACAGATACGAAGAACACAAAGCCAAGCCAAAGAGAGGCGAACAGAAAGAAGGAGAGTTGCTCTTTTTGCCGCGAGCGTTTCGAGCCTGGCCTACATTCAGCAGAGATGAGTTCATGACGAACAGAGTGAGGAGCTCGACGATAACCACTGATCATGCTGAAGCTAATGGTCTTAGAGCTAACAGAGATACTGACAGTGTTGATGATGATGGAGACTCCTCTGAACAGCAGACTACTGTGAAAACCTGCTTTATTTCTGTCAGTATTATTAGTACTATTACAGATTTGCGTACTGTACTGGTTTGTTTTGCATTACTTTCTGAGTTTCTTTACTCCTTTTCTTGATCAGTGTTCAATTGAGAGGTGCCATGGGGTGAAGGTGGGGGTGGGGGTGGGGGTGGTCCTTCATGCTACTTGTACTTTGCCTATTGTATTCAATATTAACATTGTGGAGCCTCATCTTGAAAATAAAAACATTTGATGACAAAAAGGTGCATGATGGCATTTAGCATTTTACAAGCTGTGAATCCTCCTTCTCAAAATCACCCTTAAAAACAGTAATATTTGAAGCTGTCTGAACAAATTCACTGCCAATTTAATCAGTTTCCGTTTACACTGGCTGCACTAGACGTTCGTCTTAGGCTGGCTTTACATGGTGAAACTTTCATGCAACTAGTTTCATGTTGTGAGCTGTCTTAAACAATTTCTGTGTACCTTAACTGTTACACAAAGCAATTATTAAATCATGTAGTGTAGGCCCGTAAATAATGATTAAATTATTAAATTAGTAAAAATTCAGTTTCTTCACTAGTTAGCCAGATTAGCAGTTCATATTTCTGAAACTCTGGATTGTTCCTGCTTTAAACAGGTTCAGCTCTTCAATAAACCAATCTTCTGTTTGTTTTTCTTGCCAACTGGGCCAATCACATTAAAATGATGACATTTATTCTCACACGTGACATTATCAACAATACATGCAAAGAAGTTTCCACGAAGTTGAGACACTTCCACCGGTTGCGGCTGAGTTTCAAGTGAGTTGCAGGACGCTTCACATTAAGCAACTCAAGTGCAATTTAGTTCCATGTCAGCTTTAGGCTGTTTCACTCCTAGTTCTTTTTCTTTTCACTCTTAACTCTTTTCCTAAAAAATTACAAACCCAGGTGTGATTTGTCAGAGATTTGGCAGGGTTACAAGCACTATTATCTTCACATTAGAGCCAAAAAACCTACCATTTCTGACTTTATCTTAGCCTATCACTGTGTAAAATCCAGAGCTATATTTTCTTGATATATTACCCTTTCATTCATTTTTGTACTAAAACAGAGATGCTTGACATATGGGTATTACAGTCCAGGCAATAACAATACACCTTACTTCCTGATTGCAATTAATCAAGATGATAAATATGTTCTGTGATCCATTTGCCAAAACTATATGCTTTGCTTTGCTACCATTTTATTGCTTGACTGCCATTTTTAGCAGCAGCTCATGAACAATCTATCTATCAAGAGTCAAATGTCAAAACGGGCAGATTATGCAGACAGTACAGCGCTAGAAGAAGAGAAAAGCAGGGTGATGTTGAATTATCTCATTTGCTGCAGACCACTGGTAAAAAAAAAGAGCTCCCACCATCAGCACACTGACCAGGACTTATTTGAAAGCAGACCAACACCTGTGATTTTTGGTGGACTATGGTTTGTTTAGAGCACACCCAAGAGCAGGTGGCGTATTCGTACCTGTCAAAATGAACCAAAGAAAAAGTTCAATTGGTCCAAACCAAAGTAGATATGAAAGCACCATTCAAACTTCAAAAAACAGGCCCATCAAACTTCAAACTATTCAAACTGATCTGATTGGTCAGCACAACTTGGGGCCATGCATTGTGCATAAAACAGAACCTGTGTCTCTCAACGAAAAAAAAAAACAGAAAAAAAGGCACCAATGTCACAGGTACAGGGTGAACTCCTATAAATGACAGCCATAGCAAAATGCTACTGTGCTTAACAAATAGTCCTGTTTTTTGTTTTGGTTTGATGCGAGTCCATCCCTATATGTATGTATGTATATATGTATGTATGGTACAGATGTGACTCCAATACACACTGTAGCAGTGTATATGTGTCGTACCCGTCTCCAGGATGCGGCGGTGCAGCAGGCCTGTGGGCAGAAAGGCCTCGTCTTTACATGAGCGGATCTGCGTGCCCACCAGCTCCGAGTTGGTTGCTAAGATACGGGCGCTCTCCTCATTCAGGTTGACCCCGGCCATAGACGCCACATCATTGATGTCATCATCGTCCCTGAAACACATGACACAGTACTTATCACATCTGAGCACACTCACTGTGTTACCCTCACCTGAACACACCTGATCACTCAGTCAACCTTTATTTAAACTCGGACTACACTGAGAGTGACCCTCACTTACAATGCAGCCGAGCATTATACAAAAAAGAAGGAACGAAGAAGTTAAATAGAAATGAATGTTAGTAAAATTATAGCAAAGAAAGTAAATAAGACCAAAAAAAATTACTAAAACAATACATAAGACAAATAAGAATTAGGAAACTAAATCAATGAGTGTCAAACTTTTTGCCATAGCATCATTTGGTATCAAGTATCGTAATACTACGCTTGTTATCAGTATCGAAATCAAAGTTCTGGTCTTGTGACAACCCTAGGCAGAATAGCTGTTGTTTTACAGTTGTTTTTAGCCCCTCACATCTGAAAATTCAACTTTTCTACAAGTCACATATGTAAATATGCAGGACAGGAAGAAATACATAAATACGTCATATCAAAACCTATTTTACACCATTTGACAAAGCTAACTGCCCTTTTCACTGTGTGAATATTTCATTAAACTATCCAAGATTATTACCTTCTCCTGTAAAGTTAGAAAGTTTTGTAGCGACATGGACAATTTATTCACCACTGAAGGGGAATTTCACCAAATCTTTCTACATTTCTGGATAACTAAATCATAAAGACAGTCATTTAGAGTGGTTTGGTGTTAAACGCTCCGTTCTAGAGAAACTTACTGAGTTAGAATTGCTCACAGTGGTGGTGATAGGAACCAGACGTCCACCTCTAAAAGCTCCCTCACAGAAAGTTACTACATAAAGAGGTTACGAATATGCTGAGACACTGATTTGCGATAGTGGAGAGGTACATGCAGGGTGTTGTAAGGCAGCAGGATAAAAAATAAAATGTCTATATTTGTGTTGTAGATGTCACAACTCCTGGTTCCTATCACCACCACTGTAAAGAATTATGAATCATGCAGAAATTTAGAAAAATTGGTGGGATTCCCCTTTTGATGCCATAGAGCATGCTTAGCACCCAGTACATTTTCCAGCTGTTCTTAGGTGAAGCATATGCAGAAATAAAAAAGAAATTATTTCATCACCACTTCATCATCTTCATCATCATCATCATCATCATCAATATCACCACAAAACATTAACTTTTTATTAAAGTACGTGTTTTTTTTCTGCCTGTATGATCGAGGTCCACCGGCCTCCACCAGATCTCTATAATCATTACAGTCATCATCATGGGGCGTCTCCGACCCTGACTGACATCCCATGCATCCAGTTGGGGCCTTCACATTCCCGTTTCCATGGCAACAGTGTCCTAATTAGAGTGCATCAGCAGAGGAGAAGAGCCTGAGGCAGCTCAAAAAAACTCTCTCGCAAGGGTCACAGGGGTCAAAGTTCGCAGCGCTCCACACTCATTTATGTCCTGCGCTCCAGCTCTGATTCTGACAGAGACCCCCGCGCTTTGCCTGCGTTTATGCCCACCCTCGGTGCCCGTGTGTGGGCACAGGTCCCAGGCGTGGCCCCCTGCTGGAGCTATGCTGGCTCCGGCTCCTCTGCTGGGCCGTCCACAGTGTGTATGAGTGCTGACACCACGGTGGGAGGCCGACACACACTATTAGAGCTTCTCTTTTAGCGCGGGACGCTACACGGCGTTAGCCAAACGTCAGCTAACCGCACAGTTCGAGCGGTCAGCTCGAGGGGGTTGGCAGGGGTTAGGAGTCAGAGATAAGTCAGAAGTTATGCTCTTTTCAGCATCTACAATTCATCATTTTCAATTTGCGCTTAATACGCTTAATATGTTGCAGCTCTTCTTTCACCACATTTTACAGAGCTTTGTGCACTTTTACTTTGCGAACTCTGTGGTTAGCTTAACTGAAGTATATACATTTGCCCTACATATGTTTTTCCTCCCCACTATCACTGGTTATGTTTACATGCAAGGACTGCTGCTAATCCATTTGAATACATTCCGATTGAGGTGTTTATCTGCTCACTCTACTCAAAAATCTGATGAAAATCTCCATTTATAGGCACACTACAAGTAATCCGATCCAAAACTACATGCATATGTAGAGAACAACTTAGTGCAGACGTTACCATGACAACAAGCGTCACGTGAGTCCAGTCAGAGTGAGATGAGCAGCAGTGAGCAGTGCTTGTGTTTTTAATCGCTTTAAAATGATGTCAGACTCAGGAAAACGTCCTTCACATGTCCTTATTAAAGAAGGCCGAGAGGAAGACGTCGTGTTCTGAGACACATAAGCTGGACGTCCGTCCCACCGCCGTCTTTTAAAGATCAGAGCATAAACTTCGTCTCCTCTGCAGACCAGTTTCTGCTCCGCCATGCTGAACGGTATAAACTTTCACTATGACGTGACGAACATGATCAGAACGGACTTAAACTTTCTGATAGGGAATGTAATCAGATACAGGCATTTAAACAATGATTATTCTTCTATTTAAACGAGTATTTACAGGATTACCCACCTCATTCAATCGGATAGAAATTGTATTCCAACTGGCCTCAATCGGACTAGACTATTCTATTCCAATTAAGCTATTATTCGAATTATTAACGGATTATCAGGCTGCATGTAAATGTGATTACTGTGTCATTTAAATCACAAGGTTATGTAGCTGAAATAGGAATATTGATGTGTACCTGCTACTTAAAGACTGAGAATTTCTCAGCCTCACTAAAATATCTAGTGCAAACAAGCAAGCTTTGACAGTGTGGTAGTTCAGAGGCTAAACGGCTGCAGTGTTGGAATATTATTAAAGTAGTGAATAGTTATAATAGTAGCCTTACTTTCATGTAACCTAGTGACGTCACTTAAACATGCTAAGACTGTCAGCTTGTCAGCTAGCTTAGCTCATATTCATATTGGCTTCTTAATGTTGTGAAGGTTTAGAGGGAATGGGGGTGGGGGGGATGTATATATGTATATATATCGGCTTTGGAGCATTTTTTGCTCACATTAGGATGTCATAGCTGCAATAACATTTTTCCCAACAAAAATATCTTATATCTGGGAATATTTGGGAATGTTCCCAACTACAATATATAGCACGGCTTAAGCGACTGATTGGTTTCATTTTGAAAAATCCTACTTTTTCTTTTTCTTCTTCCACATATACAGGAAAAATAACTGTATGACTTTTTGGAAAAGGAACACTATGCTCCTTGCAAGTCAGTCTCAGAAGCTCCACCCACAATGTACATGACCACTCAGATGGCCAGAACTACTGGCATTTTGTCATTTACATTCAGATTGGCTACAAGCACGTTCATGTGTCTGTGCGTCCATGCAGCAGATTTAAATCTGACTGATGGGAAACAAACCCACTCTTGAGCACTGCAACGTTTTTGTATCAAGATACAGTCGTAAGTGTTGTGAATCTGTGAATTTTGTGTTGAAAAGTTTTGCAAAAGATTTCTTTGAAGAATTCAGAAGCTAAAGGCATCCTCACGTTTTTCCATGCTGAACACTTTGCTCCCTGTGGGTTTGTTTTTGTTGCAGCCCAGTTTTAAAAGTTGCCCACCTTAAACGTCACACAAAAACGATGGTCCGTGGTAGGGGTGGGCGATTTGGCAAAAAAGTTACATCACAATACCTTGAGACATTTTCATGATACAAAACATGCAACACTATAATTAGTTTTTCTGAGATTTCATAAATCGTAACAGACAAAATTGAAACGGTAGTGCCACATCTAAAAATACTATAACAACTACAATGATTCTTATTCAGTGTTTCGCAAACTGCACCGCACTAAATCCATTTAAATAGGCCTCATTATGCTTTATAAACACTTTATAAAGAAACATAGTTTGTCAGTGTTCTTTAAGAATGATGATACCCACAATATGCTCAAAATAGCTTAATGTGACATAGTTTATCACGATAACGATAAAAATATTGCCCAAACTGCAAGACTCTGACGACTGCTTTGCTAACCTGGTAGCGGTTAGCTGGCTAACATGCTCAGCTAAGTTTTAGCAGACAGAAAGACGGCGGAAAAACGGGACAGAGGACAGTGTGGCAGAAGAGGGTCACGGAAGCTTCCGGAGCGCGGTGGCCACTGAAAAAGTGCCGCCGGGAACAAAGGTTGTCCGTAACATGCGGCCCTGACAGCTTAATTAGCAATGCTGCCAAAGATTTATTGGTTTATCAATCAGTGCTTGCAGCTACTGCTCCCCTCAGGGGTGGAGGGACATGGCCATTACTGTGCACTCTGTGGCCCAGCCCAGCGCGACACACACACTGATCTGTCACGCAAAGACAACACCCACCCACCAACCCACACACACAGAGCTCTACAGGTCACCTAAACACATCCACACACTTATACACACCAACATAATGTTGTTAAGTGATCACTGGAGTTGTACTTGCTGTAAAATAGTGTAGTAGCAATACAGTTTCAGATAAGAGCTGATCCATATTATCTGTAGTGTTACTGGTGTCAGACAACACTACTGATTTTTTAATGTTCGTGATACTGATACAAAACAAAAGCGGGGCTTAAGTGAAAATCAACTGAAATGCCCGTCATTTGCTGGGCGCTTCTGAGAAAGTTTGGTTTGGTTTGGTGTGAAATGCTCCATCCAGAGAAACTCACCAAGTCAGAATTATTCACAGTGGTGGTGATAGGAAGAATTTACTGCCTCTAAAACAGGGACCCAAATGTTAAGAAGAGCCATTTATCCTTTCAGTAAAAATCAAACCACCTTGGGAGCCACATTTTATCTCCATTTTACCATCTTGGCTGTAAATATGTCTCAGTATGTGCTGATGTACTAGTATAGACTAACGAATTTAATATAAACAAAAAAGCAGACTTACTTTGCTCTGTTTTAAGCTTTAGCTCAACTATAGCTGCTTTTCTCACATCTCTGGCAGGAATCTCAAAAGTGGAACAGTTTCTTGTAAAATGTTTCTCAACGTTCGACTTTTTACGAGGCTGAAGTCAGCTTC